GATATATAACAAAAAGAACTAAAAGCAGGGTCTCAGAGATATTTATATACTGTGTTCATAGCAGCATTGCTCACAATAGCCAAAAGGTGGAAGCAGCCCAAGCATACATTGATGGCTGCAGGGTATATACATGAAATTGTCTGGTATATACAAACATCATGTATGGAATACTACTCAGCCTTAAAAAGGAAGAGAACTCTGACATGTACTACAAAATGGATGAAACTTGAAGACAATATGCTAAGTGATTCATCTAGCCAGTCCCAAAATGACAAATACTATATAACTTCACTTATATGAGATATTCAAAGGAGCTAAAATTACAGGAACAAGACAGAATGGTGGTTCTCAAGGGCTAGGAGGGGGAAACCCAATGTCAACTGTACACACCACTAAACTGTACACTTACAAATAGTTAAGATGGTAAATTTTGTTGTCATGTATTTTATAATTAAAAATGAAAACATGCATTTCAGAAGAGATTTCTTAGTATGAGAAATGCATTTGATTTTCATTTAACTACTGTTTCTCCTGCTGGAATTCAGAGGTTATTTCACAGAAAAATCACAAAGATTATTTCTCTCTTTTCATTGTATTTTCTCCCTTACATTTATATTTGCTGACAATTCCCATTTTAATTTCTACCTTTTTTAAGGCACATTAAAAAGAAATGAATTATAGACACCGCCAACAGTGAAAGAAAACAATGGAATCAGCACTGGGATCAGTGGAGTAAGAAGAAGCTCCAGGGTCAGACAAACCTACGTTCTATTAGCAGCTCAGCCCCTCATTAATTATATGGTCTTGAACAAATTGTTCAAGTTCTCTAAATCTCGGTTTCCACATCTGTGAAATGGAGAGGTTTATGGTGCTATTAGAGATAACAAATAAAGTCAGTCTGCCTCTTAATGAGTATTAAGTAAATGATAGTTACCTTCCTTTCCTCCCCTGAGAAAATAACAATATCATAAATAAGTAAATTATAACAACCATGACTTTATTATTTTGCTATTACACTTACATTTTCAAGGGTTTATGAAGAACAAATGCCCCACTTCAAATATATATAGTTTATAGATTAAAGAAATAAAAGTAAAATTTGTAGTACAGTTTTATTTTACCTCTGTAGGTAGTAACATAACAACATGTTCCATCCACTTTTTCTGTTGGAATTGCACTGTGTATATCTGCATCTAATGCCTTGTGACTTACAGTTTCAGTTGCCAAAACTTTAAATGGCTGAAAAAAAGAGAGAGAATTGGTTTAAGATACACAGCTTCTGTGGCTGCACACACACTCACCCAGAATGGTCTTGATTTTAGTAGCTCCACAAGTCATCTCCTGTTTATCCTTTAAGACTATTCAAAATTATTTCGGTGAAGTTCTCACCCATCACCCCCTCCCTTCTACACTATCACCACAGTACCTATTTTCCCACACAGATTTGTAACTATTCACATGTTTCTTTATCCACCACAAGGAGCTTGACACCAGGAACCATATCCTTACCTAGCACAGCTGTTCACTGTGTTCACTTACTCGACAATGATTTGCTAAATGCCTCCTATAGGTTGAGTACTGTCCTTGGCACTGGAAATAGAGGTGAACAAAAAAAAGTCTGCCTTTGGAGAACTTTCATTTTAATGAGGAAGACAGCAGCAATAAAGGGCATAATACAATGTTAAGTGTGATAAGTGCTGAGGAGAAAAACAAATGGGGACCCTTCCAGTCTTACCAGTAATAAACTATTTGCATAATTTATGGCTTTCTTCTGTCAGGAAGACAAGCCAAAAGAGCATCAAGAATGGAATAAAGAACAGCTTCTACGGCCCCCTACCAACTTTTTATCTAAAATTTATCTTAATTTCTGAAAAAGATTTATGCCACTGTTTTACAGCCTAAATTCATCTTACATATATGAAAAACTGCACAATATAAACATTATACTGGTGTGTGCGGGCTTAAGATTAATAAGTGAAAGTAATGTTTTGGAGTCAAGTAAACTTAGGAAATTAGTTCCATCCTAGTACTGATTCAGTACTTTCAAGACAAAACTGAGTGACTGGGGATTTATCACTACTTTATGACAGTACTATCAGAGGGTATCAATTTAACCTGTGGTAGCACAACACGCAAGGTGTGGCCCAATAGCAATGTGTGTATATGTGTGTGTAAATTTCAATTTATCAGAGATTCTGAGACAGATTACTCTGCTGGGAGCTCTTGAAATATCCCTTCTGTAAGAATCGTCATCTACACTCTTTGCTCTCAACATGTTTAAAGGACAACATAAGATACCAAGGGGTACACAAAGCTCTCCTTTACCTGCCATTAAAGACTTCAAGCTATGACTGGAAAAACAAGTTATGTGTGTATAAAAACTAATAGAGAATGTTAATTAAGAGGTCCCCTAAAATGACTGAGTAATGGAAATCACTGGGATAAATAAAATGATCAAAGACTTTGTAGACAAAGTATGATTTGAAAAATTAAAAATTCAAGAAGTGATCCAGGCAGAGGGCATTGCCTGAACAAAATTACAGAGACAGTATTGTGCCTAGTATGTTTACAGGACGAAACAAACTTTGCTAGAACAGAGACTTCAATTTAAGTAGGCACCTCCATCACAGACACATATGCCAACTTCCACGGAGCCCAGGTGCCCAGGAGGCACTTTAAGAGTAGAATGGGTCTAATGAATAGGAAGCCTTGAATTACAGTTAAGGATTTGGATTCTATGCTACCAATCGGCTATTCTTAACTGTAGAGTGGCAAGAAAAGTGGTTTATTTTTCCTGGTGGAGGGTAATTTTACCAACTGTCCCCACTCCCAACATATAAAGTTGAGAATCACAGCTGGGGTGACCCACTACTCAGGGCAACACTGTTTCACATAGATTTACGTTAGGGCTTAAAATAGGAAAGCTTGACAAGTACTGCTACAGATACTAGTAGGAACTGTGACCTTTTTTAGTAGGAAAGAACCTAATGATGATCATTCTGGGAGGCAAGAAATAGGTAATGCAATAAGCAGAGAATAAAATACCAAGAACTCTAACAATGGTGGCAGTAAAAAACAGATGTTTAAGGTAAAAAGCATTAAGATTAATGGAAAACTGGCATGAAATGACTCCAGCATTCATTCTTTAATTCAACAGTTATTTATCCAGTGCCTACCATGTGTCAGGTCCTAGAAAACTGGGCATAGAGATAACAGGGCAGTCTTGGCCTTAAAGGTCTTTGAGTCTGGAAGACAAGAAGCCAGGGGAAATCCTGCAAGCAGAGTGGGGGTCTGCGACATGCACATGCTGATTTTGTGTGATGAGCTGGAAGCCCCCAGCTGACAACTGGGGGCTCTGCTATCAAGGACTTTTGTTATATACTAAAGAATTACGCTGACACAGGGCACTCATCATTCTCTAAGGGCCCCTCTATGTGTAAAACACAGTGGAGAGAACGTTAAACCCTGAGAAAGCTTCAACAAGTTGGAATCAAGGAGGTGATCACAGGTAACAATACAGGAGGTCTGGTCTTTGGGAACCTAATTAGGCTGTCAACACTGCCATCTGTTCCCAAGTTGGGGCAGGAAAAGCGAGTCTTCTAAAAATCTCCACTTTGTCACCAAGTGCTTGAAATGTGTAACGCTTGGATTGCGGGGACTATGTTAATTCTTAAGGTAGTTTTCCCAAGAAGGGGTTAACCTGAGAAGAGAGGCTTATTTAAGATGTGGGTTTTCAATTTCCACGCGCAGGCACGTCTGAATTGTCTGCAGAAAAATTCCCTCTAACAGTTCCTCCCTTATAACTAGTGAGTTTAAGAACCTGAAGCTCAGGGAGTAAGAGACATGGACCCCAGACCTCCACAGACAAACCCAGACCTCCACAGACAAGCCTAAAAAAAGCTCCCGGCCTGCTGGGCGGCTGCAGCGCGCCGGGTGCCCTCGCCAGCAGCGCCGCGGGCAGCAAGCAACGCGCGCCCACCCCGCACCCCCGCACCCCCGCACCTGGTGGTCCCTCTTGGTGGCGGGCTCCTCTTTCACCTCCGTCACAAACACGCACGGTATCTTCCGCTGCACCGAGCCCAGGCGCCTCATGGTGGGCCCCACACGCCGTGTGACCGGACAGGGTGCCTGCAAACCGTGCCCGACGGCAGGCTAGGCGTCCCCGAGAGTCGCCGAAGCGCCGAAGCCAGCCCCACCGTGCTTCCCGGCAGGCGCGCCGCGTCCCCGCGCCCCACACACCGAGCCAGGAACCGGGACGCACTCTCGGAAGCGGAGCCGGGCCGCGGGGCCTTCTGGTAGTTGTAGTGCAGAAGCGCGGACCCCCGCCGTGCGCTCCCGCGCGCTGTCCTCTAGGTTCCGAATAGAGTCAAAGAACAAGGATACGCTTCTGGGTGTGTGCAGTTAACCACACTTATTAACCAGTAGTATTTATGAAAATTAAACAATAACAATGCATAAGTACTATTTTTTATTTACATTATTTTTTACTAAATTTATTTTTGTTGTTTATTTAGTTATTTATTAAATCACTTCGGATGGTAATTTAACACCATTTTGGTGAGACCTAATTACTCGTTCTTTTTAGTAAGTTCCTAGGGAAAGCACTGTAGAAATCTAGAAACATTCAGAGACATCCTAAGATGGAAAGAAAACTGATTTTCCTGGAAGAATATTAGAAAACGCTACAATTAAAACACTTGGGACAAAAAAATATATATAACTGTTTGGATTATACCTCACTGGGCAGCATATGGTCAAAGTGATAGGGAAAATTTTACAAGGACAGCAATCTAGTCCAGGAGCCTCCCTTCTGCTTCTCAGCAAAGACAACAGAACCTAACAGAACCTTCCTTTAGTTCCCGCTCTGCCAGGCACTCACTTCCGTAAACTCACTGCCTAAACTTAGCCCCCCCACCCCACCACCCCTTGCTTGCTTGTTGTGCACGTAGAAATGTTGCAGATAAGGAAGCAGAAAGATATATATTGCTCTCCCTTGCCTTTGTTTGGGGCTCAGACGTTGGGAGATTACTCTCCTCTGACCCCGCCGGTGTAAAATTAAAACCTCAGCACTCGAAGACCTCCTAGTGCCGCTTGGTTCTTCCATCTGCCATCCAGTCCAGGTTTTTCAGTAACAAAAGTAGGTTCTGATGTTATTTCCTGAGTGCAAAGTTAGCCTTAGACTAATTCAAGACCATACAAATACCAACAGATTTGTCTCAATAATTAGTATTATTAAATAATATTAGCCTATTTCATTGAACCTAGTAGTCCGAAATAAGAGAATGTTATCTAGTGCTATTTTTTATGTGCTTGAACAGGCCCAGTTCTCATTTCTCTGTCTTGTCTGCAAGTATCATACTGTCCAGTACTGTCCTGACTTAGTCCTTGGAAAATGGAGGTGTCTATGTATGAGGGGGTTCTCAAAGAATAAAATATCCCTTAAAAATTTTACTGTTTTTTCATCACTAGATTGAGAGAGGAGAGAGGAAAGAAGAGGTTTACCATTTCAGAGTGTTTACTTTGTCATTTTTTATTTCTCATAGAAAAACCCAAGAAGGCCAAAAAAAATTTTAAGGGGGAGAAAACACCTGATGTTGGCTGCAGTGAGTTATTGGGACCAGAATTCTTAGTATTTTATAGTCAAGCACCAGTGAATTTTTGTTCTTCCGGAGGAATCCTAAAAAGCAGCTTGTTTCATGGATCTCAAGGAAACAAGCAATTCAATAACCCTCACAACTATCAACTTTCATTTCCCAAACTGCCACAGAATATTCTAGGTTCAATATTCCTTCATTTATTGGAAAGGATCATCTTCCAAAGCATTCCACTTGCTCCTTGAATAGCAGCAGCATGGCTACTATTTCTCAGGAAGCCCTCTATTCCCAGTACTTTGGTTTCATTAGTGCCTGGAGCAAAATCTCTGGCAGAGACAGAAGAGCCCAAGTCAGGAGAAGGCCAAAGGTTCAATCCACAGTTATAAACTGGACTTCTACGCTGATGGGTAGCAGCCAGCAGCTTTGCCTGATTCTCATAAACCTGAAGAGCCATCAAGGACTTATTACCAGTTTCTGGAAGTAAAGTGGTGTTACTGGATTACACTCTGAAAGAAAGACTTCCTTCTGACTGATATGTTAAAGCCTAGCATACACCAAAGGTATTCAATATTCAATCAGGACAGTGAAAGATAAATGTACTATTTCATTTTTACTGGTCTTTTTGGTTAATATACTAGAATTCAGCAATAGAAATACTGTACAGTATTCACTGATGTAAACTAGACTACAGTTACATGTGAGGTCATTTTATGATGAGCAAACAATGGATTAGGTAACAAAGAAAAGTTCTGGAATTTGAGTTTGTGGTTTACTAGCAACCACTTCCAACATTTCTTCAAAGCTAGAGAAGGGAGAAGGTATCTTCTAACTTAAATTCTTTAAGGATTACCATTTGTTCAATATACTGTCAACAGGAGGTCAGTTTTAAAGGAATACTACTGATAGCCTGAAAGACTGTGGAAAAGAGGTTCTTTTCCCCCTTACACACTGATAATTTTTATATTTGCATTCCTGAAATTCTAATATTAAAAAACATTGGATTAGCAGCAAGAGAGTTGAAAATGGCAAAAGTTGGGAACGACTGCTATTTCTTTTTTAATTCCACATGCATAAAGGTAAATATTGTACAATTTATGGTACTTCATATGCTTAAGCTTTTTAGTAGAATTAAGATATGGCAGTAATTGCTGAATCAAAATTTACTGTTTTCCCACAAAAATATTTTATGTATTTAAATTCTGAAGTAAAAGCTAACCGTGTACTTCTGATATACTGAATTTCTCTGAGGAGATCTGTGATAATTTTAAATTATTTAATTAAAACTACCCTTATATATGCCGGTTACATACCTATAGCTCTTATATTTTTGGGTGGTACTTTTGCTTATATTATGGCTCCTTGAGACATCAGATTCCTGACATTGAAACTTTACATCATCATACTGTTTTGGTTAATGTGATTCCAGTCATGTAAATTCTAAGAGTTAAATTCATGTCACTATTGAAATTAACTTTAATAAATCTAATTGATTCCTTATTTGAAATTCACTAACCCAATTACTGAATCTTCCCATCAAAAGTCTAAGTAAAAGGAAATATTTAATATCGTAAAAGGAAAAGAAATGATATAAACAAATTAGCAAAGTATGAATTCAAGTTTATAAAGATAAATGGTGGTAAAAATATTTAATTTAAGAGATTAGGATTAATGGATCTCAATGAAACCAAATAAATGTAGAAACTTTCGGCTTCACAATCATGTCAGAATGAATGAATCCCGGTGATTGGAATAGAATACGAACATGGCTGGTGATTCTTTCTGTCTTTCTTCAGAAAGAGAAATTAAGTTGTTTTGTTCCTGGATTGTGATCAAGAGTTATCACTGATCTCATGTATTTATCTTTAGTGAGGCATATGGATTAACTGATAACAAAAAGTAGCATTTTATCAATGATTTGTAGCATGTTGGACTATTTAAGCATCAGATTATATTGTTAGTCTCTCACTAAAATTAGACTAATTTGCTAAAATTTAGATTTACAGCCTTATTTTGTAGTGTTTTTGTGATTCTATTTTATCTACTTATATTTTCTTTAATTTGAACCCCACTGTTGATGAACACTAACATTGGTATATTGAGTTTTCTACACTGTTTACCTTTTTTTTTTTTAGGGTTCCCAGTGCCGATTCCGACACTGTGAAGAGGCCCTTGGCAGTAACACTGTGTGCTCATTATGGAGACAGCGAAAATGTTTCGAGCCACATTGCAAATTTAGACACATGGAAATGCAGGTAGAATTAAGTCCACATCATGTTTGTTAAAACTGTCTCCCTTCAGTAATAGTGAACTAAACTCTTACAAAGCAATAAAGAAAAAATAGTTCTGCCCTTCCAGTATATAATTCTAGGCATTTTACACTTTGCTCAACTTAAATTCTTAGAAAAATAGAGAATATGTTTTAGAAATATCCATCGTATCTTCTTTTTATTTTATTTTTTGTTGAAGTATCATTGATATACAATCTTATATTGGTTTCAAATATGCAAAATAGTGGTTCAACAGTTACCCACATTATTAAATCCTCACCCCCACTAGTGCGGTTACTGTCTGTCAACATAGAAAGATGTTACAGAACCACTGGCTATATTCACCATGCTGTACTATCCCAGTGACCAACTTACATTATGATTGAGAATTTTTGTGCCCGTTTATTCCCCTCACCGTCCCCACCCAACCATGCGAACCACTCCCCGATGGTAACCACCAGTCACTTCTGTATCTGACTCTACTGCTGTTTTGTTCCTTCTGTTTTGCTTTGTTTGTATATTCCACAAATAAGTGAAATCATACGGTTTTTGTCGAGATTTCTCCACCTGGCTTATTTCACTGAGCATAATATCCTCTAGGTCCATCCATGTTGTTGCAACAGACAGGATTTTTTTAATGGCTGAATAATATTCCATTGTGTTTATATACCACATCTTCTTTATCCATTAAATAGCAAGTTTAGAAACCAGGAAACACATATGATCCCGAATCAGTAATTGCAATAGTTTTTGTCACATTGTGTTGTGTTGTAGCACATTGTATTTATTTTGAATGTGGCATCTGACTATTACATTTCCCCCACCTCCTTTGTCTAGCAAAACAGTATTTCATGCTTCTGGGAAACTCAACCTCTTGGTTGTTTGAAGATCACCTGTATGTTTTATCACAGCAAACCTCGGAATATCAATGGATTATTTTTGCCACCAAGTAGCAGTGAGTATATTGTCTGAATAACATGGACATACCATATTATAATCTGCTTTTGATGTAGCAGCATAGAATGACGCATTAAATAAAGTATGGCCAGGTAAGTAATGAGATTTAATAGCCTCTGGATGATTTGGGATGATTCTGTCAGGAATCATGAGATGAAGCTTAGAATGAGTCAGCAAGTAACTAACAAGATATAGGACCAAAGAAAGAGCGAGTCAAACTTTCTCTGACTGGGTTTATTTAAAGGATTTTGTTCATCTGAAAAATGAAATGACTGCTGACCTCACTAGGTGGAAGAAAACCGTTGTCTCAGCAAACTATCGCCGACCAGAGCTACGCTCAGACGTCCCAGTCTCACGGTTACCCCCCGTGAATGTGCCAAAGCCTGTCTCATAGGTGGGAGAGCAGGGCACGCTCTGAGTTACACACTGTGGCTTCTAGAAGAGGAGCTATAAATGTGGTT